TTTACAGGTGTTACAGCTTCATCACGTGTTACAGGTGTTACAGCTTCATCAGCTGTTACAGGTGTTACAGGTGTGTGCGTGATGTTATTACAGGTGTCGCACCTCATCCGCTCGGACCACGACGAGCACAGCAATGTGTCAACGATCCTCAGCTTCTGCAAGCACTGCGGTGAGGATTACGCCGGCCTCGTGCCGCGACGCTACCGCCTGCTCGCCGAGAAACACAGCGTCACCATACCCCGCAGCACGGTGAGTGTGTGATGGATGCAGTGTCATGGTCATTGTCATCGTCGTCATCATCGTCATCATCATGATTATCTTAACCATCATCATTGTTATTGTTGTCGTCGTCATCACCATCATCATCATCATCATCGTTGTCATCATCGTCATCATCATGATCATTCTCATCATCAATCTCAGCGTGTGTTTGTGCGTATGTTCACTCATCACTCTCACCATGCATTGTCAAATCTACGTGTGCGTATATTCACTTGTCGCTCCCCACCATCTTTATTGACAGATCTACGTGTGTGTATGTCACTTGTCACTCCACGCGCCATCTTTATTGATAGATTCTACGTGTGCGTATGTTCACTTGTTGCTCCCCGCCAATCTTTATGGACAGATCTACGCGTGCGTTGATTCACTGTTTGGCTCCCCCGCATCTTATGGACAGATCTACGCGTGCGTATGTTCACATTGTCACTCTCACCGCCATTTTATTGATAGATCTCCGCGTGGCGTATGTCACTTGTCACTCTCACCGCCATCTTTATTGATAGATCTACGCGGCGGAGAAGCAGCGCGGCATTCCGCAACCATCTTTATTGACAGATCTACGTGTGCGTTGTTCACTTGTCGCTCTCGCACCGCCATCTTTATTGACAGATCTACGCGTGCGTATGTTCACTTGTCATTCTCACCGCCATCTTTATGATAGATCTACGCGGCGGAGAAGCAGCGCGGCATTCGCAACCATCTTTATTGACAGATCTACGTGTGCGTATGTTCACTTGTCACTCCCCACCATCTTTATTGACAGATCTACGCGTGCGTATGTTCACTTGTCACTCCCCACCATCTTTATTGACAGATCTACGTGTGCGTATGTTCACTTGTCACTCTCACCGCCATCTTTATTGACAGATCTACGCGTGCGTATGCTCACTTGTCGCTCCCACCACTTTATTGACAGATCTACGCGTGCGATATGCTCACTTGTCATCCTCACCGCCAATCTTATTGATAGATTACGCGGCGGAGAAGCAGCGCGGCATTCGCAACCATCTTATTGACAGATTTACGTGTGCGATGTTCACTTGTCGCTCCCCACTCATCTTATTGACAGATCTACGCGTGCGTATGCTCACTTGTCTCTCCCCTGCCATCTTTATTGACAGATCTACGTGTGCGTATGTTTACTTGTCCACTCCCCACCATCTTTATTGACAGATCTACCGCATGCGTAATGTTCACTTGTCACTCTCCCGCCATCTTATTGATAGATCTATGCGGCGGAGAAGCAGCGTGGCATTCGCAACCATCCTTTATTGACAGATTACGCGTGCGTTGTTCACTTGTCACTCTCACCGCATCTTTATTGATAGATCTACGCGGGCGGAGAAGCAGCGGGCGGCATTCGCAACCATCTTTATTCACAGATCTACGCGTGCGTAGCTCACTGTGTCGCTCTCACCGCCATCTTATTCACAGATCTCGCGTGCGTATGCTCACTTGTCACTCTCACCGCCATCTTTATTGACAGATCTACGTGTGCGTATGTTCACTTGTCACTCTCACCGCCATCTTTATTGACAGATCTACGCGTGCGTATGTTCACTTGTCACTCCCCACCATCTTTATTGACAGATCTACGCATGCGTATGTTCACTGTCACTCTCACCGCCATCTTATTGATAGATCTATGCGGCGAGAAGCAGCGTGGCATTCGCAACCATCATTTATTGACAATTTACGCGTGCGTATGTTCACTTGTCACTCTCACCGCCATCTTTATTGATAGATCTACGCGGGCGGAGAAGCAGCGCGGCATTCGCAACCATCCTTTATTCACAGATCTACGCGTGCGTATGCTCACTTGTCGCTCTCACCGCCATCTTTATTGATAGATCTACTGAGGCGCGAGAAGCAGCGTGGCATTCGCAACCTGCTCAACGACTACTACCAGTCGCTGTTCGACACCTGATGCGAGCCACAAGAGCGGCAGGCGATGGAGAGAAATCGACGCATCCTTCACACGAAGGGGGAGCTGAGCCAGGAGAGGCGGAACGCCACGAGGCAGCGATCGTAGGCCTACCCAGAAACTACTCACCAAACACACAGGCCTTCTCTGTAAGCCATGGCAGGAGGAGAGGGAGGGGGGAGAGGAGGCAGGAGGAGGGAGGGAGAAGGAGGAGGAGGAGGAGGAGGGAGGAGGAGGGGAGGGAGGGAGGAGCAGGAGAGGCGGGAACGACATGAGGCGGCGATCTGTAGCCTACCAGAAACTACTCACCAACACATCAGGCCTTCTCTGTAAACCATGTGGAGGGGAGAGGTAGGGGGGAGGGGGAGGGAGAGGAGGAGGAGGGGAGGGAGGGGAGGAGGAGCCAGGAGCGGGAACGCCACGAGGCGGCGATCGTAGCCTACCAGAAACTACTCACCAACACACAGGCCTTTCTCTGTAAGCCATGTGGAGGGTGGAGAGGGAAAGGGGAGGAGGAAGGAGAGCAGGAGGGAGAGGAGGAGGAGGGAGGGGAGGAGGAGCCAGAGAGGAGGGAACGCCATGAGGCGGCCGATCGGAGCCTACCAGAAACTACTCACCAACACACAGGCCTTCTCTATAAGCCATGGGAGGAGGAGAGGGGGAGGGGAGGGAGGAGGAAGGAGGAAGGAAGGGGAGCGGGGAGCCATGGACAGCCGGAACGCCCACGAGGCGGCGCATCGTAAGCCTACCAAACTTACTCACAACACACAGGCCTTCTCATGTAAGCGCATGTGGAGGTGGAGAGGG